GGATGGCCACTGAAGCAGGAGGCGGCTGAAGGGAGGGCTGGGTAAACATCCAAAGGATCTTCCCAAAGAATTTCTCTGCTCATCACTGCTGCAGTTCACAGCATGTTAACTTTCAATAGTAAAGACTTTAAAGGCTTCTTCAAAGAGCTTCCAGGCTGTATCAGAAGCTCCAGCTGGAAGAAGTCTCATGAGACTTTGGAGTGTTTTGTAAATATAGGCTGGGGACAAACGAGGTTTTTCTTAAATTGAATCTTGCAAAACTTGCTTCCTAACAAGAACTTGCAACAGGACACATTAACACAGGAGTGTTTACCAAACTGCATCCTTAGTGTAATGTTTTTTGGAAAGGGTACAGTTAGCTTGTCATCCCCACAAAGTCTTTTACTAACACAGTAAATTATAGGCCGTATGGGAATGCGTTGTACTTGGTCCTTTCAGGTCATGTTCTTGGTCTTGGATTGCTGTGTGCAACTATATACGATGCTTTATGCTGTTTGCCTGTGGGTTTGTTTTGTGTTTCACCAGACTGAATAGAATTTCTATTTAAATCATGTTTCGTTCTAACTAAAACAATTGCAGTTCTGTAGTGTCAGGGGATTCTTGAGGTAATAGGAACACTGCGTGTTTTGTGATTGACTGACCATTTTGGCCTTTGAAAGACACCAGTACGTTTCGGTCCATTTTTCCTGCTTTGTTTGGGTTAGTGATGCCTCATCAGTTACACCAGACCATGACAGCGTTAAGTATTTTCAGCACTGCTGGCACTCGACTGTGTATTTCATTCGGCGCAGTAATACGCCTGTAGCATCATTTTCCCATCAGCAGCACTAGTGCTCCAACAACACCTGCATTACTGAGTTTTAAGAACTTGATGTCTGTCTTGTATGGTTTTCCCCCTTTGAGATGCATCAACTTTTCTAAAAATGTGTTTACTTTGTGGACTTGTTTATGACCATGAGTTAGCTGCCTGGATCCGACTAAACCTGCCTGTGTAGGTCTCTTGTTTGCTGGTGTGTTCCACTTAGCGCTTCTGTCAGCATATGAGAACGGAGAATATGGAGCGAGAAAAAAGTGTGAAAGCTCCCCAAATGTTGTATAGATTGAAAACATCTCCCACTATCATCTTGATATTTTTCCCTTCAGCTGTGCTCTTATCTAGAAGTCTCAGAGTATTTTACAAACACTGAAGTAAGCCTTTCTCCTTCTCCTCCTCTCCCCAAGGAAATGGCATTATCATCCCTTGTTTGTAGATGAGGAATTGAAGGTATGAGTGGTGAAGTGACTCGTCTAAGGTCAGCTGCTGAATTAGTGTCATGGCTATGAATAGACATAGGCATTCTAGCTCTCAGCTCTCTGTTAAACACGATCATGCCCTCCCAGTTTCAATTTGTCATAACTTAATGAGTAATAACATTTGAGCATCTAGAATGTGGGAGAAGAATTCATTTTCAGCCAGCCAACAGGTCACCCTTAGTTACGCCAGCAGCAGGAATCCGTGCACCTCCCATGTCCCCCTGAATCCTCTCTGCTACTTCTTGTTTTGCGTAAAGATGTGAGGACAGGCGAGGACTGCCAGTGTGGCAAAGTCTGATCATTCGAGTGTGGGTCTTTGCTTTTTGTGGGATGCTGTGGGTGCTCACCTGATAAAAACAAAGATCCTAGACCCGATTGTTCATTTGTCTTGGTGTAACAGTAATGAAGTGTCCTGATAGCAGTTTGACTTCAACATCTAATCTATTTTAAAAGAAGTAAAAAAATTCCAGTGCAGTCTGCTGTTCCTTGAAGGGGAGAAGTAATTCAACTAAAGTCCTCTTGGGAGCCAAGTAGGAGAAGTAAATTTTGAGTTGTACTAATCGGGAAGAGGAAGTCATCTGTTTGCATCTGGTCTCTTCCCTGCTTACATGGCATAGTCCTGTAACGGCTGCGTAAGAAGCTTTGTGATGAACAAGTGTCAAGGTCAATTAATTCTTTGGCAGACAGCTGTTGTTATTAGGGCAAAGAGTGGCCAGACACAGAAGGAAAGCCTTCAGCTGATTTATTTTCTCTGCCTTTTCCATCAAAATTGGTAAGTCACTCAAACCCCAATGGTGAACTTTCATGCAACAAGAATTTTAAATTTGCCATCTCTTTTTTTAGTGGAAGACCTTATATTAGATTTAGAGCACAGAGGACTATCTCACAGAAGATGTTTGGAAAATCTTCAACACTCTAATGCTATCAGGAAGAAGCAGAGTTGTGTGTTAAGCTGGTAACATAATATGTGGGCTGAGTTAAGCCTACTTCAGACTGTTTTTCTCAAAGTTAATTGATGGAAACAGCCCACTCCTAGGGTTGATTTATTACCTTGGCGGAGTTATTCCAGGATTGCCGCAATGCAACTGTGGGTGTTCTAAACACACCCACGCTACCAGAGAATCAGGAAGGATGTATTTAAAATCCTCTAATTTATCTAATAACATCTTTAGCGGCTTTTGGTGTAGGTTTAGTATTGTAATGGCAATGCACTCTTTGGCTAGATAAAGAGCTCCTGTGTGAAACTGCTGGCATTGGCTGTAGGGACATGTAAATAGCATTTGGAGCCGGCTGAGGAAATACTCTGACCAGCTACATATGCCATAAACGCACTTTTCAATTTTGTAATCTGTTGCTACGGTTAAAATAATATTTAATGTTTCAGATACGAATGTTCATGACGTTGGGTCTTCATAGACATGGCCTTCCCACCTTCCCAGCCCAGGCAGAGCAGAGGTTCCTCATGTCAGGCAGTATTTTTTCTCTGCTGTTTAGGTCCTGAGTCCCTATTTTAGCAACTCTTGTTGCCTCAGTTCTTAACCAGGTTCCCTCTTTGCCCAGCAGTGGATGTTCTTGAGGGATTGTTTGTAAGCGACCATACTTGATTTAGTATGATTTTCCGACAAAGTTTTGGCACCGAGCTGGCGAGCCTTGGACTGGGAAACAAGCTCAGATTCCTGCAGGTGAGTCGGCACCTGGAGCGAGCTCTGTCTGGCTTGTGTTTGCCAGTGCTTTCAGCATGGATTCCTCTGCTGTGCGTTGTTTAGGCTGAACCTTAATCTTTCTCTGCATTTTTTCAGAGCGCTGTTCTTGCAGTGTTGCTCACTGCTGGCGTTGTTATTCTGTCCCAGACATCGCAATCTCTCGCTTTTGTTGTAGCATGGAAATTGCATGTAACGTGAACAGAAACCGGTATCGCCGCTCTGGAGTACTGGAGCTAATAATAGAAATGAAAAATCTCCTCTTTGTGAGCTAAATAAAGGCAGACATGACTAGATAGAAAATCAGCTTCTACACGCACCAGAAGCAAAGGAGGTCCCAGTGAGTTTCCCTCTTGCTGATTACTCTTACCACTGGGCATTGCTCTCTGTAAATAGGATCAGGGTTCCTGTGATGTGCTGGGAAGAGCCAGTTCTAAGACAGCTGATTTCCTCCAGCCGTCGCGCTTCGTTAGCGTGCACAGTGCTGAGGCTTGGAGGTGCTGCGTGAGCAGAATACTTGGCTGCTACTTCTAGGAAATACTCTTCCTGATGGTGCAGCAACATGGTTTGAGTGGCTTTTTGCGTAACTTCAAGGGTTGGAACTTGTCTCATGACAACGTATCCCTTGGACATTGTCAAATGTCCACAAAATCCACCTTATCCCCCTTTTTTCTACATTTTCTAAATTTCTGTTACATAATCTTACTGTTCATAGCAGCATTTGGTATCAAGAATCTGGAAAACTTTATGGTAAAATGTCTTTTCAAAAAAACCCAAGTGTCGTGAATCTGATTTTTTTTTTCTGGAATTCAGATTTCACTGCTGAAGCGATGGCATGTGAGCTGGTCTAGGATGACAGTTGGCTTTCCTGGGCAGTGAACCAAATGTGAACGCAAGTGATGGTTGCCATGTGCTTCTCGGGCTCCAGAATGAAGTCTGACAAGTCTGGTTTCATGTGTAGAAGTTTTCCTGCTCTGGAGCTGGTCGGACTGATGCTTCTAGGCCAACACCCCCTCTCCAGCCACGCTAAAAGAATGCGAACAACCCACTGTGCCTAAGCAGAGGAAATAGGTTAAGGATGTGTATGTGCTCATTGCCTGCTCCCTGGACTAGCTCACAGAATTCTGTTGTTGATGGACGGTTTCTGAGACTGAAATTAGCTCGTGTGTCTCTGCGCGGTCCTGCAATGGTAGACATGTCTTATGCGGGACGCTGTTAGCCCTAATGATAACTATGGAAACTGGAAGTTTCAGGCTGTGTCAGCAAGAGACACCTGGAGAAGTTAAGGCAGACCAATGGGAAATACATATGCATAAATTAAGAAGTATTAAACTCCTCTTGAATCAGAGAATGTACATTAAAGTGGCCTTGCTTTGCTATAGATTAATTAACCTTGGGAGATATCAGGCTTAATTAAGCTACCGTGAGTTAAAGCCACTTTATTCTTGATAGAGATCATTCACGAGGGAGCTTTTTAACCTTATGCACATCAACTTCATACCTCCTGTGGGCTTGCCTTAGCTTCTAAGAGTCCCTTGGTGAGGCTTTGGACACTTTGAAAACTGAGGACTTCTCTTATCCTTTGGAATCCTGACTCCAGTTCTTAGGAGAAACTGGGCAGAATGGGCTAAGATAAAAGTGTATAATGGACATGTAGAAAATGTGCGCTAAGCAAGGGTTGCATGACAGACCCTGCAGAGAGGGTCAAGTCTAGATTTGAAAAGCATTTAAATAGATGCTACAAAATGGAACATTCACTCTTATGTTTCTTCAGTTTTAAACAGGGTTACTAAAATCCATATGGTGAGTTTGAGGTCTTGCTGCAGGGTTGTGGTACTGTCTAGCAAAGAAGAATCGGAAGTTTTACAAGTTTTGGTTCAAATTCCTGTTTGTTTATAGAAAAGTATTGATATGTATTTCTCTGACTGCAAGTTACCTTGCTAAATCAGATTAAAATATCTTTTTGTGTGTTTCTTTTTGTGTTTTGTTTTTTTTTTTCTTTTCCAGTAATTGCCCTTCATTTTTGGCTGCTGCATTAGCTAGAGCAACTTCAGATGAAGTCCTTCAGAGTGATCTTTCGGCACACTACTTACCAAAGCATGTGGACAACGCAGATGGGATCATACGTAAGTACACCTGTGCATGATAAGGTACAATTTTACATGGTGTGGGTCTTTCATTTACACTGTATACTGGAACACTTTGCAGATAATTCATAGATTTTTAAAGTTGACATTGACTTCAGTGATTCATCTGGTCTGACCACTTGAATGGTACTAGATTTTCCTCAAATTAGTTCCTTCTACCAGCTAGCTAAATGAGGTTGGACTAGATTTCTTGTAAAGGAATATCCCATATTGATGTAAAAACATTAATGGAGAATTCACCACCATTATATTCCCGATAGAGGTAGTGGCTAATTTCTTAGACAAAACTGTCTCATCTGTCTAGTTTCATCTTTTACTGTTGAATTCTTTCTCTATTTTTAAATGTCTTTTCCTGGTTGTACTTGAGTCTCTTATCAAATTTTTCTTTTTAAGACCAGGTGGAAATTACTCCTTTCTTTTAAGTGCACCTTCATAAATCTGGTGGCCCTGATTTTCTTTGTAAGCACTTTAGACTATGCGGTCCTGCTGCTTGCTGGCAAATGGCCGTTGTCCCCCTTCATCCTTTGAGCAAAGTCAAATATATGTGGGAAGAAAGAATTAAATTCTGAATTACTTCAGTCAGTATAGTTTTTACTATGGCTTTTTTGTTTGTTTAGCAAAGGATAGTATAAAGATATTTAATGCTTAAAAGGAAAATTTCCTTTTTTCCATTTATCTGTGTTGGTTAACAAGATTTTTGCAGCATCCAGCTCAAAGCCATGTACCCTAAATAATTTCAGGACTCTGCTGACCTAAATATCCTTGAAAAACTTCCTGGGGTGGTCATTACAATGAAGAACAGTGTTTCTCACATGTATTGTGAGGAACTCTGTTATTTGATCTTGAAAATACAGTCACCAAACCACTTTGTCCATTCCCTCCTTTTTTGATTTTAAAAAAAAAAAAAAAGGTCAATTATTTTGGGGATAAGTAGGAGATATAAATCTGTCTCTTCAAAAAGGAAGATTCTGGTGTATTTTTCAGGGGCCTTTGGAGTAAAAGAAAAACATGTTATGGGTTCCCTTTTTGTAGGTATTGCTGCCTCCTTCTGCTAAGCAGGTAAATGGAATAGATTTGTCATTGTTCTGGCTGAGCAGCCTCCATTAATTTCAAATTGAGATCTCTGAGACTTGCATAAATATTTGACAGTCTCCAAGGAAATGTTGACTAAGCCTCCACACAGAATATCTAAAGAGTTCAACAATAAAAGAAAAAGAAAAAAAAAAAAATCCACTAAAACCCTCACACCTACAGAAATTGCCGTTTAAATATATCTAAATCTGTAACATACAGATGCAAACATAGATTGATACGTGTACAGGCTATAGCAGGCACTAAAAATATGACTCCAGATGCAGTATGTTGAGGTGAATTGTTATAATGAAGGTACTTGAAAATGCACCTTTACAGATGCAATGTAAAGTGTTAAAATACGACGATAAAGAGGGAGAGGAAGAGAGAAACATCTTCTGGACCACAGTGAAGCAATGGTTTCATATGAATACTGCAATTTCAAATAATATACCATAAATGATAATTTTTGAAACAGAGCATTAGCTTGAGTGATTCAAGGTTTGGCTAAGAAAACCATAAAAAAAGAGAGGGATTCATGCAGGACTGAAGGAGATTTCATTGGAAAAGGTCAGTAACTCTGTTCTAGCTAACTTTCCTAATTTACCTGTCTGGTTTTGATAGCCAATTCTATGTCACTTTTTCTTACGAACCCAGAAAGATTTTTTACTCTGTATACTACAAGGAGACATCTATCTGATTTGCCTCAAACTTGAATTTGCTAGAAGAAAAAAAGAAATTATTCCAAATTTCCTTAGTGACATATTTCAGTCGGAGTTGTGCAACATGACAAATCATATTGCATGCCTAGGATTGGTAAAAGCAGTTATTGGTGTGCTGGTGGAAAGGAAATGAGACGTTTCATGAAAGAAGAATGCTAATCTTAAAAGAAGAAAAACTGTTTTGAGTCCACAAATGTAGGAATGCAAGAATACAGGCCTGGTACATTCAGGGTGGCCATGTGTCTTTGGATATCAAGAACAGAACCTGAGAGTCATAGGCCATTACTGATTCTTCTCTTCTGGTTAAACTGGAGAGGAGCGAGAGAGCTTCTGTGAGAACTGAAAGACGTTTGATTTCCTTTTTGAAAGGTCAGGTTAAAAACATTTAGTTTTCTTTTTCATGGAGGAAGATATTCCTGTGGGGGTTCAGCATTGTTAACGAACCACTCAAGGAGGCTGGATAGTAGGACCACGTTACATGGTGGAGGTATCTAAAATATCCAGCGGACTTCACAAAGCAAATTGCAAAGTCCCGCTACCCAGTCTTTGCAGGCACGAGGAGATGAGATTACTATAACCAAGACACAAAGAGGTCATTGACTAGTCCGAAACTGGAGTTCTTAGATTGAGGAAAACCTTGGTCATTGGCTTGATGACATGTCTACAAACCTGGGTACTGATTCCTGTTGTCACACTGTCCACATTTTCAAGAAAGGTCTTGAAATTTAGGTACTAAAAAGCATAACCTGATTACTGGTATTCTTTCTACCCTGATTTTGCGCTAAAAGAAGTCAGTCGCCTTTGGGAACAATAATGCCTGAGCTGGATTTCCCACTAGCTGTGGTACAATTAAGCGCTACTTCCAACTCTGGGGATTTTGGAGCAGCGGGAGGGAAATGAAATTCTCCATGACACAACCACAATGACAGCTGAGTCAGCTCTGGCTCAGCGCTGCAACATTAACAATTGATGAGTAATTTACAGCTGTGAGGGGGTGGTTTAACTCTTGTGGGCCTTTCTCCTGTTTTAACCTCAAGAGCAATTATTGATGATGCTGACACTATGCATACTCCCCGATGCTGAGGAAGGGTGTTTAGTATCTCAGCACTTAGGCGAGAGTAAACTCAGGTTTACTCTATTCCTCCTTCAAGAGTGACACTCTGAAGTGTAACAGCCACGCGACATTGAAACGTACACCACTTCCCCTCATACATGCTCTCCGGAAAAAAACGGAAGAGCAACTCTGTGGGGTTCACTTCTGGAAAATATAATTTGGATGTGTCAGGCTGTACATGTTCCCTCTTCATATATTACCCAGCAAAGAGATTTCTGGTGGCACCAGTGAGAGCAGCGTAAGTGTTTTGGGGAGTTGGTACCCATTGCTGTGGCAGTGGTGGGATGACCCAATCATTTGATTTCTGCCACTTGTTTTTAAAGCTGATTGATCAAGAAGCTAGGGCTCCAGCTTTTGGTTCAGTTTATAGCTTATTTCCAGCTTAATAGCTGCTCAAGGTTGAACCAACTCATAATCAGCAGAGCTGGGAATATATCTTGCTCCTAAGGATCTTGGCCCCCTGATCACTATAGCCCACATCTTGTGTAGACCTAGGACAGAAATTAGTAAATGCTGCTTTTAGGTTCTTCACAGAATTTCTGTGAACTGAGAGATGCTGTAATCCTCCCCTCTGGTCCCTGTATTTGGGCCGTTCCTCCTCCAGGAATGATTGGCACTCATGGATTGCTGCTGTTCAGCTTTGAAGATCTCTGGCTTTGGTGAATGACCACGAACAAGGAGATATTGATGTGTTCAGCTCCGATTCTTACTTCCTGCTTCCCACCCTGAACTTCAGAATGATGGTCAAGTGCTCGAGTTTTCACATTTTAAAATTACAAATCTCAAATTACTATTTCTCAGGAGTGACAGTTCAGCGTTGTATTAAATTTAAAACCTTGATGGTTTTCTCATTTGCTCATGTAGATTTCTTCTGACACACTATCTATGAGGAATCTGGAAATAATGTTACGGAACTAAGACAGTACCTGAACGCGTACGCTACTGAATGCGTACTTCGCCAAAACATCCTAAAGTAATGCTGTTAATTTCTGTAGGTTATTTGCCACTGTATTGCCTCAGTTCTGCAGTGGGGTGTTGTTTGGAATAGATCGTTTGGTCAAAAACCAATACGTCATTGTGATGGATTGTGGTTTTCGTATGTGATGCTGTACGCCATGACGAAGACCCTATCGGAGCCGCCGTGGCATCGCTGCACCGCCCTGTGCAGAGCGACACAGGGCATCAAATGCTGAGGGGATACGTACTTGCTTTTCGTTTTTCCTGATGCTGCAAATGAGTTCCCCAGAGGCACCGGGGAATGTTTAAGTTCAAAAGACAAACAATGAGCTGCTTACTGATGAATGCTGATTATGGTGAGTTTGGCTTCCTCTTTGTATGCATCAGAGCCCGCAATTTCCCTGCTGGCATCCATTTCAACTGCTTGGCTAAAATGGTTTTGTTTCATCTTTGTAATGTATGCAGGAGAAAAAATTTCACTTAATAACGCTCTTAGCCTTTCATTTGTGGTTTTTCCCTTCCCCAGAGATTGAGACAGTGAAGCTGGCCCGCTTAGTTTTTAGCAAACTGCATGAGATCTGCAGCAACTGGGTGAAAGACTTTCCGCTCCAGCCGAAGCCCCGCCGCTACTACGAGACATCCATCCATGCCATCAAGAATATGCGTAGGAAGATGGAAGACAAGCACGTCTGCATCCCAGACTTCAACATGCTCTTCAACCTTGAGGTAAAAAAAAATCATGTGGAAGACAAATGCATATGCTAAATACAGTTTCCATTCTTGGGGAAACTAGGCAGTCTTCTACTGTGAAAATGAAAGCCATACCTGCGAGGGACCTGAGAGGGATTGACAGTCAAGAGACCAACCTGGTCTCAAGTTAGTTCAGTTGATATTCTGACATAGCAGCACTATGACATGCAGATTCTACATAGGGCATATAGAATATAAGAGCAATTTTCACAAACTTCTGGTGAAATGTCATCTAACTAAACAAAGTTTGTATCTGGCCCATCCTGATGTAGACACTCGTGCAGCAGCTGAAGGACTGACCTGCCATCATGCAGAAAGCAGCCCTACTTGTAAGTGGCAACTGATGCACTGTAGTACTGTGTGATAAGTCAAGGTAGGAGCCCCTCTTTGGCTGAAGATGCCGAGGTGTAGAAGAGCACTGCCAATGGAAATGAGGAAGCGGTTCA